TACTTGAACGCGATATTTGCGAGCACATCCTCCATTTCGAGAATACAAAATAGAAAAGAATCTTCTAATTTCATATTAAACAAATATTAGACAAGGATATAATAATTTGATCGATCACTGTGAAGAATGCACTCGTTCAAAATGTTTTTCTATCGATAACACTTATTATCCGTAGTTTTTTTACATTTTTCAATGTTTTTCACTCACTTTTTATTGTTTCTTTTTCCCTTTTCTTTTCTTTTTTTTTTTTTTTTACGACAATTGTAACGTCACTAATAGCATTAACACGCTGCTGATATTACAAGGGTTAGGCCGTTACTCGCTTCAGACCCGTACGTATGATAATTTGGAATAACGCCAAGATGTATATTTATCTCTAGCTATAAATATAGTGTGTTTCTTTTGCACATACGTACATATGCATAGAGTTGAAGGTATCCTAGAAAATTTGTTCTACGATAGACAGACTCGACATAGGAACCGGCGAAATGATTGGACAATTTATCATCGAGTTTAGTTACGAATATATCGTATACTTTCTTTTCAATATCATAATACTATTCCTAACAATTTGATTGCAGTCATCATTATTAAATATACTACATCGAATGGCATATTGCCCATAATATATTTCCGGTTTATGTACATCTTTTTCTATAAGTTGTTTTTAAAGACATATATTTATATTATAATTTATTTTAAATGAAAAAATGGAAAATTAAATGATATTTTGATTTTAAAATTTATATTTTAATTAGATTACTTAGAAACTTATGCTTTTTTTTTTCTAAATCTCTCCTATTTCTATTTCCTTCATTTTTTAAATCGTCAGTATTTTTTCTTCAAGAGTTCAATTGAATTTTTATATCGTTAATCTGAAATTTGAAAAAGTGAATTGAAAATTCGTTACGGAATATATATTCTTATTATATAATTTTAGAATAAATTTTTTTTTGAAAAAAAGCACCTGTTAAAAATATCTATTAAAAATTTAAATAGAAATAGTTGACTTTATGAATTTAATATGCTTTACGTAATTATTTAAAAGAAAATTGATTTCAATAAAAAGTAACAAATTCCAACAAAAATTTTTGTTCTTTAATCATTATTTACGAATTTTATTTGTAATGAATATTTTTATAAAATTAAAAAAAAAGGAAATCAATAATTTAAAAAAGAAAATCTAATTTTTTATTTTTATTTATTTAATATTAAAAAACAATTTATTAACAAATATAAAACCCTAAACCTTCGTATAAAAATTTTTATATATTTTTATATTATACTATGTTAAGTGTTAGTTTCCATGTTTTTATGTATTCATGTATTTAACAATATATTTTTTATGATACTTTGTGAGAAATACTCTATAAAAAGATAAATTTTAAAATTGAGATTATAATAATTCTTGTAAGAAAGTTTTGTGAATAGTAAAAATACTTTTGAAATTATAATTGAGTTTTTTTATAGAGTATCTCTATAAAAATATAATATATATGTATATTATATTTATTGAAACTGACACCTAATTCAAATATAAGTATATGATATAATAATATAACGTAATAATATAATATATATACTATATAAATATATAGTATATATATATATTATATATATATAATATATAATATAGAGATATAATTAACAATTAACATTTGTTTGTAAAAAAATAAGTATAAAACAAATAGTCAATTTAATATAGATCCAATTCAATTATAATCCAAATTATATCCAAATATAATTCTAATAAATAATTGAAAATTATTTTCAAATTAAATTGATTTATAATTCATTTAAATTTTGTAAGATTAATAAATACTCGTTAATTAAATGATTAATTATAACTTTTATTCTTTATGACTTATTTATCAAATTATCTTCCTTATAAAAGGAATGTTTATTTCTTTGTAAATCCTGTCTTTTTTTATTTAATATATCTTTTTTAAAATGAAATAACATTTATAAAAATAGAATTTTAATACGAAATACTAACTATTAATATATCTTATATGAAATTTCTAAAATATTCTTTTCTCTTTCTCTCTATTGTACAGAAAAAAAGAATTGAATTCTTTAAAAGATATTAACTTTTAAAGAATTCAATTTTTTGTAAATATAAATAATAATTTATATTTTATATTGCAGAATGAATATGCAGATTTTAAGTGAATTTCAATCTAATTATAACAATATTTTGATTATGAATGTGTGATTTCTGCTTTTTCAAATTATATTTTGATATCAAAAATTAACTTTTCTTGAACTAAATATTTGTACATTTCCATTTTTTATTTTTTATAATTTAGAACGAAGAAGTTCAATTTTTTTAGCAGCACGTTTTTGTAATTCAATTAATTTCATTGCCATTCCCATGTTTCCTTGAATCTTAATCTTTCCTTGAAAAAATGCTTTTTGTGGATTTAATTTTCCAGAAATAAAATCTACAATATCCATATCATTAATTGTAATCACAACATCAGGTTTAGATTTTCCATAATATTCTATTTTTCCTTTCCCTGTTTTAGCATCTACAATCCAATAGCCTTCCGTTGTTCCGTTGTTTACTTTAAATCCATATACTCCGCGAACTTTTTCAATTAAATTATCTTCATCCTCTTGCATTGCAATTTCTAATAATTTAAACAATGCATTTGCCTTGAATTGATTTGGATCGGGAGTTGCACTTGAATTTTTCTTAGTTTTTTCGAATTGTTGAGGAAAACCCATACGATACAAAGCAACAACAACTGCTCCACCTAATCCTATATTATGTTGTAGGGCAAGTTTTGCTTTTGGTACTTGTCGTTTGCCAGCTTGTCCTCGAAGTTGCCAAGAAAGTTCAGCACATTGTGCTAATCCTGTTGCTCCCAAAGGATGTCCTTTTGAAATCAAACCACCACTAGGATTTATTACAAATTTGCCTCCATATGTATTGTCTCCAGCATCAACTAACTTTCCACCCTGACCTGGAGGACAAAGTCCCAATGCTTCATAAGTAATAAGTTCATTAATTGAAAAGCAATCATGCAATTCTATAACATCCACATCACTCGGTTTGTAAGAAGTCTGAGTAAATACTTTTTCAGCAGCATTTCTTGTCATATCATACCTATAAAATAATAGTTATTTATCTTTATTCTTAATATTGCAATTATTCAAGATGTAAATCTATGTTTATGTTAAATATGTGCTACAAAATTGTAAAATTATTTATTACCCAATAAGTTTAATAGAACTCTTCTCTGTGAATGTTGAAGCTAAATCTGTACACATTTCCATTGCTATAATTTCTACTGCTTGAGATTCAAGTTTATGTTTATGAACAAAATCTGCATTAGCCAAAATTACAGCTGCTGAGCCATCAGATGTTGGACAACATTGAAGCTTGGTAAGTGGTCCAAATACTGTTGGAGAACTCATTATTTGTTCCAAACTATATTTTTCTTGAAACTGTGAATATGGATTGTTCACAGAATGTAAATGATTTTTATAAGCAATTTTTGCAAAATGCTCAGGTTTAGTACCATATTTTTTCATATGTTCTAATCCAGCATTTCCAAATAATTGGGCAGTGATTGGGCTTTCATTTATACCTTAAATTATAAATATATAATATACTATAATATAAAAAAACAAGAAAAATAAAATAAAAATTTTTAAATGAAAATAGCTTAATAATAATTTAAAATAACTCACCAGCTATATTAGACATAAGTTCTATATGTTTATCCATAGGATTGGTACGATCCAAAAATTTAGACATTAATGAACCCTTTTCCATTTTTTCAAAACCAAGAGCCAATACACAATCAGCAGAGCCAGTTTCAATAATTTGTTTAGCCATTAATAAAGCAGTTGAACCGGTGGAACAATTATTATTTACATTATATATAGGGCAACCAGTAAGACCAACATCGTATAATGCTCGTTGACCACAAGTAGAATCTCCATAAACATATCCAACACAAGCAGCTTTTACAGTATCATAAGAAATTCTTGCATCCTGTAAAGCTTTTGTAACGGCTTCTTTTGCCATGTCTGGATAGTCAAAATTTTCCCGTTTACCTGGTTTTTCGAATTTTGTCATGCCCACACCGATAACATAAATTTTCATTCTTGGTGACATTTTAAAATCTTCTTTGAAATAAACCCTGGAATTCCAACAAAAGATAATAAATGAAATTATAATTTGTTAGTTATATAGATACAAGTTGTTAGACTTTATATGGACTTTGTGCTTACTTATAAATAATAAAAAAATGCAAAATAAGCAGTAAAATGACGAAGCTACTTTGCAACTATAACTATATTCAACCACGTATAATTCATAAATAGATTGGAGAGTTTATGTAAAGTTTACTAACTTTCTAGATGTCGCTTTTTATGTCATCAAATTCAATTTCTTTGATAATTATATTGATAATTAATTGATAATAAAGTTTGTACTTACGTTATACTAAATTCATTAAATTATCATTAGAAAAGCACAGACAATATTGATTGTAATTTGCATTTAATCAAACCATGTTCAAGAAAAAATAGAAATGTTAGATAAAGATACATTTATTTACATACATATCGTTCGAAAACAGATCATTATGTATTAATTGTCAAAAAACATTTTCATTCATTCATTTTGAAACATGTTTATTATTATATATTCTTCATTTTCACAATTCATTGTCCATACCTCGAGTTTAGATTTTGTTTAATTAATAACCTTCTTAAATTGGAAACCAACATGATATTATTAAAATATGAAAAAATTATAAATGATTGATTTATTGTCAATGATAGAAGAACTAAATTACAAACTGTTACCTGAAAAAAGTATCATTTAATTGAGAGATCAATCGAGAAGTTTGAAAGTGAAATTCGATGTATCCTGTAAAAATGTTCTTCCTGAATTTTGTCTCGAGCTATATATGTATACTAGAAAATCGCGCCGGCCATTGCGCGCTCGTGTTTTGGTTCTGAAAAGATGGCGGATTCTTGTTTTCAAGATCGGTCATATAGAAATATAACAGTTTTGAAATATCCAACAAAAGTTGACATGTTACGTGTACAATAATATCAAGTGAATGAAATTATTGTTACAACAGATTTTCTTATGGGATTGAAAGAGTTTTTTTGAACGTTATAAGCGTCGTAAAAGCGGTGTCTTAAGCGTGTAGATTACACGAATACTGATTCAAGTGATTTTCAGAAATTTCTATTGTTTTCTAAGCGAAACAACATTCGTGGAACTGAAAAATGTTATTGTGATATAGAGAATAAAATGGTTTGATTCGAATGAATATTTATGAGGTTAATTACCCGAGCGATTGATATAGTAGCAATATTACTTGGTTAGGTTGATTGACTAAGTAGGCATACCTATGATATCCGATCAACATTCCACGTGTTCCTCTCGGTGGTTCACGTTAAAACGTGACATTGGATCAAGTTTATAAACAGCACATTGTTTTAATCCATAATGGCGACAAGTGATTTTGATGTGGAGCTCTTTGAGCGAAGACTTCATACATTGAAGGATTCACAGGAGTCAATACAAGGTCTTTCAGCTTGGTGCTTAGAAAGGAGACAACATCATAAGAAAATTGTAGCTACCTGGTTACAGGTTTTAAAGAAGGGTAAGTTTATATTTATTTCAATATAAAATTGCATTATTATATAGTTTATTATATAGTCTAATTTTATTGCATTTTTTTTGTTTACATTTAAAAGTATAGATTGCATTTATGTTATGCATAATCAAAAGTAGAATTATTTTTTAAAATTTTATAAATAATAGAAATTAAAAAATTTTATTAATAAAATATTTAATTTTAAAACGAAATGTGTATGATTAAACATAAATTTAATATTTTATTAATAATTAGATCTAATTTTATTTCAATTTTTATTATGAATATATATTTTTATGTAAATGTTTATATATAATTTACTTAAATATTATATTTATTTAAATATTTTTAAAATCATTATTGAATGGTTCTTGTTTTTAATTAAATTGCAACTTATTGGATGACAATGATATTTTCTTAAATAACAGTAAAAGTTGAGCACCGGCTTACGCTATTTTATCTGGCAAATGATGTTATTCAATACTCTAAGAGAAAAAATTTTGAATTTGTGGAATCATGGGGCACTACTTTACAACGAGCAACAACTATGGTTAGAGATGAAAAAGTGAAACATCGTATATTAAGGATTTTCAAAATTTGGGATCAAAGACAAGTATACGATGAAGAATTTCTCGCAGATTTGTCAGGATTAATTTCAGCAGCACCAAAAAAGAAATTAGAACCTCAGCCAACAGTACCACCTGAAGAATTTCAAGCTGCCTTACTTATCTCTACTATGAGATCATGTGCTACATTAGAACAAGCAACTGATGCCCGATTAAGAGATTTACGTGAAAGTAATATAGACATAGAAAATGCAGAAGAATTATGTGCTTCTCTAAAAGATAGAAGAAGGGTTGAAGATGCAGAAAAGGAAGTAGATCTAGCAGTTAGAAATGTTGAAAATTATGTTCGTGCATTAGAAGCAGAAATTAGAGAAAGAACCCAAGTACTTGAACTATTAGAACAAGCTGATCAATTTTATGAAACTCAAAGAGGTGAAGTGAAAATAGTTACTAATGTAAGTATAATAAAAGAAAAAATGATAAGTATTTATTATATTTACTAATATTTTTTAATATTTTTAATATCCTTTATTAATAGGCATACAGAAATTTTGGTAGTCGCGTAAAAAATTTGAAGAAAAAATTGGATGAACTTTTACCAACATTAGTTTCACCAATTCCATCACCAGACATAAATGCTCCATCTCCAAGTCCTGATAGCGATATTGAACTTCCAGGAGAAGAAACTCAATCTCAAAATCAATTAGGAATGATAGATGTAGCACCACCATCTATGTATGGTTCATATTCACATGACTATGATCCAGTGCCTGTACCAGCTCCAGAAATGGGTCAAGTCAATGATTCTGGTGATTTTACTAATAATTTTTCATCTTTTATGGGAGGAAATGTGGATTTTGGTAATATGGTAAGATATTATAATTGAAAGATTATATAATAATTTTAATGAATATTATCATAAATTATTTGTTTTTCATTTTAAAGAGAAATATATTTAATGAAAGATCATCAACACCTACTGGAATATCACAGCAGTATAACGACTCAATAGAGGTATATTTTAATAAGATAAATATTTATCATAATATACATAAAATATATATTAATAAAATTTGTATTAATTAAAACATTATAAAAATATTATTTTACTAGGCTAAACCAATAGAGGTAATCAACATGAGACCCTCCAAAAATGAAAGTAATAACGCGGATTTTAATATCTCTAGTTTTTTAAAAACTGTTCTTCCTTCTTCTGATGGAACACAAGATCCTGGTGGTATTCCAGGTCTTGGTTTAGATATTCCAGAATCACGAGTAGAGTCACCACAGCGTTCGAATTATAGACATTCACCTGTGTTAGGGCAGCATTCTGTAACTCCTGTGATGTCAAGAATTATGGGTAATCAGAATGCACCTATAGGCGTAAATACTTGTCCAATAACTCATAGTACTCCATTACCTGTTCGGAATTTATCAGGCGAATCGCATACTCCTTCACCATACTCCAGTCAAAACAGTCAAAGTAACATTACTGTACCTTTTGATGGTCCTACTAATAATAATACTGTTAATCCTTTACCACCTCCACCGTTACCTCCGCCTATTTTTCTTGACGATGAAAATTGTTATAATAAATTACCACCAAAATTTCCTACATGGACACCTCCAAATGAAACTATAAAGGAACCAGCCAAATGGGAAGAAAAGGGTATGAATTTATATTGGATGTAATAAATAATAATTTGACATCATTCTGTTACAAATTTATAACGTATATTAAGTTTTATAATATTTGTAGGAAAAAATAGCATGAATCCAACTTGGCCTGGTGAATGTGATGAAAAAACGAAAACATGGATGGATGGTGATACGGATAGATGGGACTCTAATAATGAATCTACATGGACTAATATTGTGAGAGGAAAGAACGAAATTCTATCCGAAACACCAGAATCGCCACCCATGTATGAAAAGGCGGGATTTACAGATCCAGTTGAATATGATGATTCTCAACCGCAAGAATCTCTTTTGAGTACTGCTGGAGATGTAGATCATAGGTAAAAAATTTAATAAAAATTTAAACTAAATTATATAGATTTTAAGAAAAAAAAAAAAAAAAAAAAAAAAAAAGAAAGAAAGAAAGAAAGAAAGAAAGAAAAACATATCTTCTTTAGGGTAATACCAATTCCAATGACAGTGGAAAATCAATTACCATATCGTTTAATGAAAGCAGCGGATGTTGACCATCGTAATTTAATTAGCTTAACAGGAAGTCCAGCAAATCATAATGTTAACGATACTTCTATGAATGTGATATCGAATAGCAACAACTTGTGGTCTACCAGCGATCAGGATTACCGGTAAGACAATAAAACTTTTAATTACTAGAATCTCGTAGGATTATATCGTAGCAATTTTTTTTTTTTCGTCGTAACAATCTCAATATAATGCGTATATAATATGCGTAATCAGGCAACACATGCAACCGGGCGATATCGTGGAAAGTGTTGACATGGAAATGTCGGATGATGAAACTGACAGTAAGCCAAAAGGAAGGGTATTGGTTGACGTGCGATCGCAAGATAGGGACATGAGAGTCGGTAATCCATCAGCATCTTCGCAACACATGGATATGGATATGCGAATGATTCCGCTTCCCGCAGGCCAAATGCCAGGATCGCATGGACAAATTATGCAAGATGTACATATGATGCATTCAGGACCTCCACCACCTCCACCTCCACCGCCACAATTTCATCCAGGTCAACCATCTTTTCATCAAGATCAAACAGATTTTCGACATAATACCGCGGCAGAATTCCATCCGGCTCAAACAAATTTCCATCAGAATAGACCACCGCCAAATTTCATTCAAAATCAGCCAGATTTTGGTCAACAAGAATTTCATCAAATGCAACCAGAATTTCCAAAACAAGAATTTGAATATCGTGAGAATCATGCTTTACGACCTAATCAAGAATTTCTTGGCGAACCACAAATGCGTGGGAGGTACTCTCAACCAGTCGATCATCAACATCGAGATATTGGTTTTCATCGGAATGACCGAGGAGGTCGTGGTGGCCGTGGATTTGCGAGAAATCGACGGGATAGATACTCGGATGACCATAAACCGAGAAACATTCAGAACAATCGTAAATCTAGAACCCAAGAACATCAAAGATCTTCGCCAGAAATTTTACCCAATAGTAGACCTCTGTTAGTACCAGCACCCGATACAGTTGTCATAATCGACGAAGAGGGTATGCCTATAGGATTACCTAATGAGAAGGAAATAGCAGCAAATGTAGAACATCCTGTGGATACGGAACAAGAAGAAAATTGTCAAGATCGTAGATTGTCACATGGCACGCCAAATTCACGGGATCTTGACCAGCAATCCATTTATTCAAGTGGTTCAAATCTTGTTCATGAACATGAATCTGAGCCACCGGTTGCTGAGTCGGACGAGCAACAATCAACAATGAACCAAGTGACTGTTGTACCCGTAATAACGGATTCTAAAGACTCGCAGCATAATCAATACGTGTCTATTTCTGAATATGAGGAACACGTTGAATCAGAAGCTATGATATCGGAGAAAACTTGCGAGAGTAGCGGATCGATTGAAAATGCCGAACAAGATATTAACTTCGATCAATCACAACAGCAACAACAACAACATATATCGGATCAATTGGACGATCTTGGAAACTCAATGCCAAGTAACGAATTGAAGAGACCGTCGACAAATGGCAACTTTGATGACAATGATGTTAGCTCTAGTAAGAAGAGACTTTTATCTAATGGTCCTCAGACTCCAACCGAGACTGATGCAGGTTTGAACGGGCCTATACCGCAAGTATCGGCGGAGTCACATCCGGGGATATACGATTTTGAAGGGCCGAATTTTCGACCACGTCTTAGTGGTCCTGTTCCATTTCCTCCATGGAGAGGGGGTCTACCAAGGGGTAGAGGCTTCAGAGGTGGTCCCAGAGCTCCTTGGATGGATAGAGGTCCTCGTGGCCCTGTAATTGGTAATTTTATGCCCAGAGGATTGAAACGCGGTGGACAATTTAGGGGAAATGGTTTCAGAGGTCGGGGACGTGGTAATAATTGGTAGAAAGTGCATGAATTTTCGAATTTATTATTTGCTTGAAGGAAAGAGGAGAAGAAATGAAAATGAAAAAAAAAAAAAAAAAAAAAAAAAAAAAAAAAAAAAAACTTTCGCTGCAATTTTTACCAAGAAAAAAATTTGCACCGCTTTTGACAACATAACGAGAAGAAAACAACTGTTTTTTCTATTCTGTACATATACTTGTTAAAAATATTATTAAATGAAGGAAGAAGACTCATCGTCGGAACGATGATCACGTAGGACTGGGACATTATCTTTGCGTGCGTCTCTTAACATGTAGATGGGAAAATGGGGGCAAAGACGGTATAATCCCAGACGACGTAATCTTCTTTGTTGAAGATTCACGCTTCTGTGTGATTAATTCGCCTATATACATATATAAATAAAAATATAGATATATAGATATATGAAGAATGTACACGTACACATTTAATGCGTTTATTCTCTCTCTCTCTCTCTCTCTCTCTCTCTCTCTCTCTCTCTCTCTCTCTCTCTCTGTCTTTGTCTCTGTCTCTGTCTCTGTCTCTATCGCTATTTTCTCTTCGAAAAACTTCATTCGATTTTCACATACATGTACACACATTTGTTAAAAATTTAGATGTATTATTGAAGCGGTACTTTTGACGCCTTTAATACAACGTTATCATGAACATTTCCAATCAGTGATGATATAAATATCGATTTATATATCATAAAAAAATGATTATAATAATGTATTGATTATAATGGTGTCGATAGATTGTCGCTTCCGTAATAATCGGTATTATCTTTTAGGATTTTATGTAAGACAAAAGAAATTTCTGTTTTACTAAAAAAAAAAAAAAAAAAAAAAAAAAAAAAGAAAAAAAAAAGAAACTTCTGTATGTGTTATTACAAGTACAAGCATAAAAAAGAAAAAAATAATCTCCGTCAGGTGGGTTGACCTGTGAAAATGATTTCGTAATTTGAAGTTGATTCTTGGTCCCTATAAATCAATACAGGAATCAGAATCAAAGGTGCAGCTTGTTTAAAACAAGAAAGGAAAAAAGAGAAAGAGAACTCTTTTTTTTTTTTTTTTTTTTTTTTTTTTTTAATTCGTTTCACGGGTCGCTTCTTTTTATTCACTCGCCTCTTACCATATAAAAATAAACATTAATTGCCTGTTTTCTTTATCCACCTGTCTACGCTTCTTATTAGTTCGAGGCTCGTTTATAAACAGGCATATGTCAATGAATCTTGAAAGTGTATTAATAAAAATACAATGTTTATGTTCTGGTCCACTTCGTACATTTCCCCCATTTTTTTCTAAAAATGTATGCGTAACGTAATATGTCTCATATACGCGGTTATTATTTCATTTTTATAGAGAAAAGAAAAGAGACAAAAATATTAAAAAATGAGGAAAAACTGTAAAGATTATTATGTATTAAGCGAAATCGCGAAATCGAATAGAAGAACAGGTCAATAATGAATACCTGTCCCCGATGTACGATTCGTATTTTGTTTTTGTTTTTTCCATTGCGAAGGAACAAAGACTATTGTACGGGAAAAAAAAAAAAAAAAAAAAAAAGAAATTTAACAAATGAATTTTGTTAATAATGATTCGTTTGCTTGATCAACCTGTTTTCTTTTTCCGTTTCGTTTCGTGTCTTTTTCCCTCCACTTCGTCGAATATTTTCATACATTTCAGCTTGTGATTTGAAAAAAGAATAGAAATGATAAAAATATCGATGGAATATTTTTTACAAAAAATTGTAAAGCTATATTCTTGTGTATATGTATATGTGTGTATATGTGTGTGTTTACACAATATATACATGTAATTATGAATATACGCGACTCGATCGACAGCAATTCCTTTATCTAATTATAAGTTTAAGCGTTTAAATTTAATTTTGTGTAAATTTTGAATATCGATATCATTTTGTACGAATCTCGTAATGGAAGAGAAGTTGGAGGAATTTTTGTAACAAATAGTAATGTTTTTTTTTTTTTTTTTTCTTTAAAATTCGGTTGACAATGAAAGCAAACGCATCATTAGAAAAGAGTAAAGAAAATATGTAGATATTGATAGTGAAACGCACAGAAAATAAGTGTAGCAAGATAAATCCTTGGAAAATTAATTATGATTGTTTAATAAAACATTACAATCTACCGAGGACCTTGCCACCACGATCGACAAACGTAATCCTGCTTAATGTATATTGTATTTTTTTGTACCCATTTATTTAACCCTTTAAAGCATTACGTGATCAATAGGAAAAAAAAAAAAAAAAAAAAAAGAAGAAAAAGAAGAACGTTTTATTTTCTCTATTTACGATAGTTTCTGGTAGAGAAACTAAAGCGTCGATTTTTATTATTTTATTTATGAATTCGCAGGATATGCGATCATTGTAAATTTGTAGATCTATAGTTTTTTCTCCTTTTTCTTCATTCGATCAATGATCTTTTTTTTTTTTCTTTCTTTTTTTTTTTTTTTTTTTTTAAGTGATTTATGCATTTTAATCATTTAATCTAATTAATTTAATTAAGAAATTGCTCGTTTTAAAATTTATTTTATTAGATTCGAAATATTTAAAAACTTATCGATCATTTGATCTATAAAAATTTTATTTTTTTTCTGAGACACGATTCTCTTTTTCTTTTTTTTTTTTTTTTTTTTTTTTTTTTTTATATATATATATATATATATATTTATATAGAGAATAAAAGTGTAGATCGTTATTTGTAAATTGAAAAAGTCTGTCGTAGTTCTTTTATTGATTCATAGTATTTTTATTATTTGAAATCTCTATAGATCTACGTTATTCTTCCTTTCAGTCACGAAAAATCGATTTTTTTCGTTCTTTGTTTCGTTATCCGTGGTTTGACGGTAATCACTCGAGAGATAAATTCTTTTTTTTTTTTTTTTTGTTCAAATATTTTTTATTCATTCTATAATATTGAAAATTTTAAATTATTTTTTGATTATAATTGAAAAATATTTTATCGATTATAACATAATAAATACATACATTTACTTACTGATAGGTAGTCAATGTATGTATTTATGTAAAATTAATTATAAAAACCTTTATTATCGCTTGTGTAAATGTATTCATTTATTAGATAATGCATTCATTCATTGTATATAACTTTTTAATTTTTTATTATTTATGAATACATTTACATTAATATAACCAATATTTGTGGATGTTTATGCATTTATCAGAAATTTAAATGTGCAAAAATGTACAGAATATATATGTATTAAAATATATACAAGATATATCCAAATATCAAAATATTTTAATTAATTATTAATAATATATTCATAATATTTTAACACAAATATATTTTGAAACAAATTTTTATTCCTTCAGTTGTGCTCAAAAATATATATAAATAAAATGAATTTTTGTATAAACATCCATATTCCGATTATTCTACATTATATTTTCATACGTCATGATCTGTCAGTAAAAATTTAAATTTCATCACTCATGAATATTTATTTTACTTTCGCAAATTTGTATTCGCATACGTTGACTTGTAATAAGCGTATATATTTTTACTGTAACAGATTCGTTTCATTGTTGTGAAATAAGATTTAAATTACTTAAATTCGACGATCCACGTTATCTCCTTTTTTTTTTTTTTTTTTTTTTTTCCGAATGCTTTAAAGGGTATAAAGAGTCCCGGTGAATTATGAAAGAATGATGTGGCGGCGTTATATATTAATTTGTACATAACAAAGCGTGATAAATACGAATATATATATATATATATATATATAGATACATATAACACTTGTAACACGAGCCGCTATGGCTGCCCGAACGGAATGTATAAAATACATATTGTACAGTTTTTAGCGTTATCATTACCTTTCTCTCCGCGCGTAGAACAAAGGCAGAAGAAAGGATCTCTCCATTTTAAATGGTTCTTATTTTAGCACTATGTACTACGCTTCTTCCACTTTTTAAATCTTTTTCAAACTATTGTAACCGAATCATCGGATGAGAATTGAATAAAATCTAATTGCGTGCAAATGTATCTCTCTGCTTGAAGTAACGCGTGAATGGTGTAATTGCGTTCTTGGCCACGAAATTTTCCGATTTCCTTTTGCGATTCCCAGCTGGACGATCGATCAATTTTCGATCGAGAATTGAACAATTGATGTAAATTATTTCTTATTATTATTATTATTATTATTATTATTTTTTAAACATTCTATTGCTAAAGCGATCGTTCGTTTCGTCGAATTATCAGATCGTTTGTATCGGATTTGATCGCAAAGGATAATCCTAAATAGAATGATATAGCAAAGGATCGAAAAATATATAATATATATATAGATAGTATTACGAATGAAACGAATATGTAATGTAAATGTGTAAATATATTCGTGAAAAAATTGGAAAGTTAATTTTGGCAGCTCGAGTGATTTGTTCCGCTACGTTACGTTGTATTGCTCTTGAAAAAAAATCTACAAAGTTGGAATTTATCCATCGAATTCTTTTTATTCGCGAGGTTGCGTGTGTGATCGTATCGATTTTAGCTGGCAAGCCGTACGATGCGTTATGTGTGCGTGATTTAAGTGTTCTACACTTGTCTAGCATCAGGGACTTTCGTGTCATTTCCCTTACGATGAATGCGTATGTGTGCGTGTATATTTATGAGTATGATTTCAAAAAGAAAAAGAAAAAAAAAAAAAAAAATCAGATAGAAATACATACGATTCGTGTATCAATGTAATCCAAGATGTTGCGAAATATTTTTGCGAAACGAACGTGTAAATATATATTCTCGAGAATCGCTTGTTTTAAAGGCAATTGCAATTTGTTTCCCGATAAAATAACTCTTAAGTGAAACTTGTACGACAGTCGTCAGACAATTTATACACCTCGGATTTCCTTTCTTGTAATTCTAACAGTTCAGCAATAATTATTTCCAATAATCCTTTTATATTGTGAATTTTTTCTTTTTTTTTTTCTTTTTTTTTTTTTTTTTTTTTTTAACATTAACATTTTATAGCATGTAATTTTCTAACTTTCTGGATTTTCTTTTCTAATAAAATGAATCAATTACGTGTTGTGTATACAACAAAAGTTGAATAAACGATAGAGATATAAACAGAGATTAAAAAAAAAATCCGTTAAATCCTGATAACGATAACCTGGAAGTTGTAGCGTTCGTTATTACGTTCCGCCATGTAACTGCATCGGTCAAGTTTCATTCGAGCGATTTTATCGCGATACAAGAGAAACAAAAGTGATGTTACAAATGTATGGGAGTGATAATTGAGCGATGTATATAGCAGAACGTAGATCGATCGTGCGATTATTTACGGGAGTGTATAACGAAAAATTGCGAAACGTTATGCGAGTAAAGTGCCTTCGCCCAAAGTAACAATAATTTTCGCTTCATTATTGGAAGTTCATTGCTATTTTGTTATATTTGATTATTTGCTTTCATTTTTCCTCTTTAAATATGTTCATTTGCCTGTCGATATGTATGCACGTTTTTAATGATCGATAATTTTTTGATTATTATTTTTCCAATTTTATATCCTTATGTCCTGAAAATATTTGTTATTGATTAAATGATTATATATATTATATGATACATAAGTTTGTTTTAAAAGAAAGAAAAAAAAAAAAAAAAAAAAAAAGAAACGAAAAAAACATCGACAGGTGAATACGCGAAGAAAAAAAAAAGATGAAAAGTATGGTTTTTTTGTAGTTTTTTTAACATAATACTTCAGAACTTCTGATGTACTAAGCGCAGAGGCAATCGATCTGAAGTTCTATTAATAAATGAGACTCGATTATCCCGGACGATAATCTCGTAAAGTAGGCTATTGTTTAATTATTTAATAATAGATCATCAATGAGTTTTATATTCTATCGTAAAACCGCATTCTGCATACCGTGTATGCTGACGATATTTTTTGTACCTTGTCCGAATAAAATGGGGTCGCATTTTTATTATGATCACCATTTATATATATATATATACTTGTAATGTCCTGTGATCTCATAGGAACTTTCAGTTATAAAATCCCGCGGAAAGAGAGGGGAAAAAAAGCAAAGCTGTAAAAATATAAATATAATGTATATATTATATATTATATTTGTATAAACGTGTAATATAATATATTCAAAATAAATACGTAGATAGTTAAATAATATCGAAGTTCGATGAATTATACATATATATATATTATATACATTGCACAATCGTTTTATGATTATTGTTGTCTTTATCTTAAGGCATAATACAAAAAGAAATTGTAAAAAAAAAAAAGAAAGAAAGAACAAAAGTTTTTTTAAGCAAAGCTGTTTAATTGTTGTGCTATGTAATTCATGTTACGTTATTACAAAACGATATATCACAATATTGCGATAGCGAGGTGTAAATGCTTCAACCTCGAGGGCTTCACAGAAATACCTTTGACCCTATGGTTGACAAGCGCTTCTTAAGTAGCGCTTTCGGTCACATCTCTCTTATGTAATTGATGGGATTAAATGCAAAGGGAATGCAAGTTATAGGTTACTAAATAGTTCAATACATGAATAATTATTAATATTAGAAATATATATTTTGAATATTTTCAACTTTTAATATTATAATTTATGATAAATTTATAACGAATTTAATTTTATTCAAAGTTTTTCCATATTTTATTCATCTTTGCATTTAATAACATTAAAAACTTTTTATTGATATGTAATTCTGTTATTTCTATGAAATTTTCTAATAGATATTTTAAAAAGTTATATACATCGTTTATATAATGATAGAATTACAAAAGAAAGTATTCTTTTGTTATTGCATTAAAAATGATACACCCTTGTTCATCAATGCGCCCTCTTTAGAAAATATTTGCAATCAAACCTTTCAAATTTCCAGAGTTCCTTGAATATAGGTTATTTATGACAATATGTGATAATATAGCGTAGAATAATTAAGTGATGCTATATAACAGTTATGCAATGCATAAATTGTAGTTTATTGACATTGCATTGTTTGATACGATAATCAAACATTATTGTGTCAT